TATTTCACTTAATTCGCTTTCTATTTCAAAATAATCCTTTTGTAATATTCTCACTTTTTTCTTTGTGCAATCAGGACTTATATGACATATTTCTCCACAATTCTAACACTTACATTATTTTTTATCTTTATTATAAGGTTTATTTTTCTGTATATTATTTTTCCTTGTATAATATTTCCTTCCAGGTTTTATTTATTTTTTCTTAAAGTTTCTATATTTTTTAAACTTCCTGTTTTTATATTTTCTTTTATTTCTTTTTTTTCAGAATTACATCCCCATCTTGTAGGTTTTTCCATATCTTCACAACATATTCTAGTTAATTTTCCTGATTTTTTCAATAATTGTCTTTGCTGACATATATATGCAAGTCTTTCAAACAAGAATTTTATTATTGATCCTAGTGTTCTAGGTATTCCTATATTTTCTTTAATATATTTTTCAAATTCTATTTTAAAATATATTCCCCATGAACCTGGTAATTTCTTATAATACATATCTTGATATACTTCTTGATTCTCATTACTATAAAATTGAGTATAATAGTATTCCTTGAATTCACAAGTATATTCTTTAATTTTACACATATCACAAATTGTTAGATTAATTAACTTAACTCTTGCATTATCTTTTAATATATTTTTTCTAAACTTATCATCCATGCTTCATGTTTCTATTATTATATTTTTCCTTTCAATATGTTTTTTCCCTGTTCTGGTTATTTCTTTTTCTATAAATTTTTTATCTACTCTATTATTCTTTTCTTCATTTTCTTTTAATTTTCTGACTTCAAGTTTTAATATATTTATATCATTTCTAACTTCTTTTATTTCATTCTTAATTTCTTGTACATCATTAATTAATGTTCTTATTAAATGTTTTAATTCTTCCATATGTTCACTGATTGACATCTTATCTATTTTTTGATTGACAATAATAAAATACTATACACTCAGCATTTTTACACTCTTTTATCATTTTATCATATTTTTGTTTTATAACTTCAGGATTTGTTAGCTCTTTTAATTCTTCATAATACCTTGCTTTTTCTTTATACCTTTCTTGTTTTAATTTTAATACTTGTTTTTCTTGAGTTTTAGTTATATCTCCGGATATTAATAATTCATCTAAAATTTTATTATTTATTAATCTTATTCTCCTTAACTTTCTTTCTAAAATATTTTTAGTTTTTTCATTATATTTTTATGATGATTCATATATTTCTCTATGATACAATTCATTTTCAAATATTTCGCAAATTATTTCATATGTACGTCTATCTTTGATAAATCCTACAATTAATTTATGTAATATTTGTTTCTTTATTTCTCTAGGTAAATTCCTAGTTATATATAACGTTATTATTTTTAATTTATTAGGGATGGGGTTGTAAAATATATAACATCCTTTTTCTTCAATACATTGATAATAATTATTTATTTTTAAGATTTCCATGATCTCTATGGCTCTGATACCAAAGGACGGCTACTACTATGAGTGAACAAAAATCTAATAATCTAAAAATCTAATAATCATGAAACTAAAAATCTAAAATTTTAATATTCCAAAAACTCTTTTATTTTTGCTATTAGGTGTATATAAAGTCTTAAGATAAAAACTAATTTTTTATATGCTTGTGGTAATCTATTTTTTATTGTCTTTTTCATAAATTTTTAAGTAATTCTTCAAAATCTAGTAATGTTTGGGAATTTATAATATCAATATCAGTTATCATATCTATGTCTGTTCTAAAAGGTATATCATATTTTGAGATATTTTTCTTTCTTTTTTCTAATTTATCTATTATATCTTGTATATCTTTTATGATTACTGATCTTACAATTCCTTTAACAAAATTTTCTAATAAGTTTTCTTTGAAACATTTTAATATTTCTTGTGATGCATATAATTGTTCTTGATATCCTATCTTATCAATTTCTTTTTCAAACTTAATTTCTTTTTTATTTTTAACAACATTTTTTTATATTATATGGTCCTCTCTTATATTTGGGTTTTTCTATTTTATAATTATTCATTAATAATTCTCACAAATTTTTAGAAAAATTACTTGGTAGATTTTTTAAGGACTTAAATAGAAGATTTTTATTAGATAAAGGTTGTTTTTTAATATTTGTTAAAGGGTGTTTTAGGTAGTTCAAAATGTTTATAAAAGTCAAAGGTCATTTTGAAAAATCCTTCTCTTATTTGGGTCAATTTCATGTATTTCCCCTTTGGGTTAAAGAATAATTGGAGGAAACAAATTGTTGGAATCCACTTGAAAAATAAAATTCACCCTTATCGAATACTAAAAGTGTATAGCTAAAGTTCACACCAAGCATCAATTAACAAGGTCTCCAACTGAATCAGAAACTTCTATTATGTACACAAAGTTACACTTATTGAATCTTTACAATTCATACTAAAGAAGCTGTATGAAATGAGAAACAATCTTAGCCTTTGAAAAATAATTGTTCCCATAAGTCTAGTCAATGGATTTGCGTCTATGAGAAACCAACAATCAATAAATCTAAGAGCGATATCAAGATATGAAAAAAAGCGTTAAGAGACATCTTAGCGTGTGGATCCTACCTCCAGTTGAGCCGTTTTCAAGGTGGACAGGTTGTTAAATAGAAAAGTTAACTCTTTCCGAGGCCTTGGTCGACGTCTCCGGATTCCCTTGTGTTGCCGTCAACCACAACGTCCTGGTTCGAAAATTTAAACCCGATCCCCTTTCGGTGTACGCGCGAAACACGCTATCTGTCGGGCATAAGGCTCATGTTGTGGGTTGACAAGTAGACAGTGGGTTTGTGCATCGCTTCTAGCCTAAATTCTCACTTAAAAGCATTCAATCATAATCTAGCGCATAGTAGCTTCATGTCATTGGCTTTTCAATTAAGTGCGATGACCAATTGTGTAAATTAACTGTTCCCCTCATGCTAAGTTGAATTACTATTGCTACATTGTCATCAATTGGGTAGCATTGAAGATGTTATGAGCCTTTGTGCTAAAATTGATGCAGCAGACTTATATAATTTGTGCTCTTATGTACTTTTGTTCTTGAGTTTCTACACCTCATGCTTAGTTGCAGTAGCTTACATATTTTAAGAGCATGAGTTGCAACATTGTTTGTGTGCACAAGGCGCGCAAATTAGACAATCCTAACGCGGAGAGGTAATCACAATAAATAACAATATGCGGCTCTTGAAGCTTGATAATTGAAATGAGTACAATCTAAGTCTCTTGACGAGGATCCATTAGAGGGTAACTTCTTGTAGGAAAATTGATTTTTTGGCAACAAAAGGGGGACCTCTTCATCATTTAAATATTGGTGCTTGACAGAGTAATTATGACTCTAAAAATATGCGTTGACCTCCAAAAATGGCCAACAGGTGTCAGGTCTACACGTGTCCACTAGACATATTTCGATGTGTTAAGATTGTTCGTTTGATTAGGCGATGAAACTAAACACAGAGGGTACGCCTTGGATGTGCAACTAAATAGTTCGAACGCCGGCTAAAGTGATCGAAACAGTTGCACGTGAATAGAAAGGAAACGAATAAGAGATTCAATGGCTTTAAATGTATGGAGTAGTATTTATTTCTCTCCAAAATGTGCCAAAAATTAATATACCCGTTCATTCTTCTTCTTCTCAGGTTTTCTTCCCTTTTTCTCTTTCTATATGCATATTGTTTCTACTGTTCCACACATCTCTTCTTTCTCTTTTCTTCCTAAGGGTAGGGTATATATAGTGTTTGGGGAAGACGTGGTGACCGTTGGATTCGAACTACGTGCTTTTACCTCCTTCTATACACACATCCTTCTTACACATACATTCATTACATTGACAAAGGGTCAATTGTCCTATATTTCTAGGCTGATATTCCTGATATAAGATAAAGTAGACGTTTAATCATTCTTTTACAAAAATATTCGTCAGGTCGGCAGATGTGGCAGCCTCCTTGTCTCTTAGAACTTCATCCTCGTCGTTCAGAAACTCGACAGGTAAGAACCTCCTCGTATTTTAGAACTTCAGCCTCGTATTTCAGAGCCTCGGCAGGTCGCACATGTGAGGACTTCAGCATAAACCTTTCGTCAGGGTTTTGGCATGTATTTAGTTGAGTGGCACCTTGGCCCGAACAAGGATTTCGGCATGTTTGGGTTGACTCTATCGGTGACGTCAATGGAACTTCCACGTATTGCTTCTGCTGGCTAACTTAATACGGAGAGTAACAATATGTAGCTTCAAATGTCAACACATCAAAAGATCATTTGGGCCTTCAATTTTGAAGGCGCTAAAAAATATATATAAAAAGTTATGTGAGAAGTTGTCGAGAATCAAGGGTATGGTCATTACGCAACACAAATTAAGGGTTGAATTGGTAATTGAGGGAGGCGTGAATAATGGATTGTAACAATCCACTTCAACGGTCTGATTTTCGACTTGCGATTTTTAATTCGGATTCCCAATTTTAGAGTGTGATCTTTTATTAGATGACTTTTGGTGCTTAAAATGTCAATACGAAACAACTCTATCCAAGGGATTGGACATACTCACAAGTGTACTATTGCTTAGCAGGATGGGTAGGTATGGTCCTGGTTGGTGTGGCCTTGTTGGTGTGGGGAATTGTTTAATAGTCATCAGAATCACGAGGTGTAACGTGCAAAATTACTTAAAAATACAATGTTCTTTGTCAATGTCCACTTGATCAGTGTTTTTATCTTCTTGAAAAGGATGGCTTACCAACCATTGGTTACTATATTTATGATTCTTCATTTGTTTAATTACAGATCTCATTAACGATAATTTACTAGGATTGACTTAGATATATTCCCTTTTTTTTTTTTGGTCGTGATACTCGACTGTAAAAAAAGAATAAATATTGTTCATAATATTGGCAGCTCGTTGAATCTACACATACTAATGGTAGTTGGAGTTGTGTTTTACCTCATCGTTCATTAAGGCAAATAGAAAAGGAGACTGCAGTTTAAGGATGTGCCATGCAAAATCGAAAATGGAACAATGATACTAAGAAAGTTATTGTTGTGTTAACATAAATGATAAAACCAGGGAATATGCTTAAGAAATTAGGACCAAATCCCTCCAACGAACAAGACAGAATACCATAAAGACAATTGACAGAACAAATTTGTCTAAACACCTCCAAATGATGATATATCACAATAGCAATAATAAGCAAAATAATGGGATGCTGCTCTTAAGGTTTCCAGAGGATGGTTGTTTCTGCAATCATGGAAGTGACAGCATAGGGATCCATGTTTGAAGCAGGCCTCCTGTCCTCAAAATAACCTTTGCCAGCCTTCTCAGTGTCACGGCCAACCCTAATCGAGGCTCCACGATTCGCCACGCCCTGTAAAGACATGAGCATTTAAGGGAGGAACATGAGCCTATGTAAATAGCCAATGAAAAAAATTCGAGTTCGAATAACTGGATTCTATTCTACCCCTCCTTCAGGCAAGAACTATTAGTCAAATTAGAGCACAGATATATTCGAAAAAAAAATGAATCAGAAGTTTTTACCCATAAGAAGGTGTCGATGTTAGCTGTTTCGTGCCTTCCTGTGAGACGGCGTTCATTGCCTTCTCCATATGCAGCAATGTGTTCCTTGTGCTTCAACCCGAGCTTGTCGATGGCGGCTTTAATAACTTCAAAACCTCCTTCCTCTCTCATGGACTTGGTACTGAACAATGTTAATATGTACAATCAGACAAAAAGTCAAAAAGTGTAGCATATTTCTAAAACTAGCTGAAAAAGTTGAAAAGATTCATGAAATTTAACCTGTAGTTGGTGTGTGCACCAGCTCCATTCCAGTCACCCTGATATTGAAAAGGTTTTCTTTGATGAATTAAAGCAAGTTGGTGATAAGTTGGTACAGGGAGAGTAATCTCAATAGTAAAAGTCTAACCGGAATAGGCTTGGGATCAAAAGAGACAACCACCCCGGCAATCTCTGCTATCCTCTGTCAACACGAACACAAATGCCGTATAATTTGCATTTGAAAGTTGCAGGTTATACAAATTTTAAGCCATACCGACTCCAAAAGGCGATAAATAGTTGGTCAGACTAATGGAAGTACCTCAAGAATGTAGCGGGACACCCATACTTGATCTCCTGCAGAGATGCCAACTGATGGACCAACTTGGTATTCCCACTGTGCCATGGACCATGACGAATTGGACAATTAGGTAAAAACTCGAGAAACCTGATGTAATTGCATGGGTAGAGGAAAGCTCAACTCATAAAATTTAACACTTCTTACCTGGCCAGGCATGACTTCTCCATTGATGCCACTAATGTTGATGCCAGCATAAAGACATGCTTTATAGTGTGCATCAACAATCTCACGTCCAAAGGCTTTATCAGCACCAATTGCACAATAGTATGGTCCCTATTAATCAGGCACGAAGTGCATTAAAATCTTGAATAAGGGAAATAAATGACTAGACAATAGAAAATAGTTGAAATCTTCTATTAGACTAGACGAAAAGTTATACTGTGAAAAATGTCACTCGTGATACCTGAGGTCCCGGGAATCCTCCCACAGGCCATCCAAGTGGCCATTTGACATCTTTTTGTAGCAGAGTATACTCTTGCTCTATGCCATACCTGTATTTGAATTATTCAAGCAAATTTTATCATATACATTAAAGAAATCTTGATACAAGATTACCACAACAATTATAAAGAGCCCAGGGGATAAGAATGTACCAAGGTTCCTCATCAACAACATCAGGATGGCTAAATGTTTTTGCAGCATTATACCTCTTGTTCGTTGGAATCGGTTCTCCAGCCGGAGTGTAAGTATCACACATAACCTATGTTTTTACATCACTTGCAAAAAATAAATATTTGAACAATAATAAGAAGGATTAGAAGATCGTAATGGACTAAAAAGCACTCACAAGTATGTGATTTCCTCTCCTGAATGGATCGGGGAATATTGCCTGAGGACTAGACACACGTTGAGAAAACTATTATTAATCTACTTGGGAAATAAATGATTTGCGGAGAAAGTTCCTTCATAGAAATCATACATATGAATAGAATGGACAAGTAAAGAAAGCTTACTAGAGAATGACTTCACTGTCTTCACCAGGGGCTTGACCAGTGCTAGAACCATCATAGTTCCACTTGGGAAGCTGTGAAGGATCGGTTACTGGTCCAGGGAGAGTCTGGTTCATAACATAATAGAATTAACAACCAAGTTTCATTGAGAATTATTAGGACACAAGAAACACTACAACTTTTATGCGACCCTTATGGAAAATTTTTGTTGATTATACAATGCCTACTGTAAGAACAATTACCCTGGCTTTGCTTCGGAGGTCCATCCCAGATCCACCAATCCTGATCAAAGATTAACACAAAATATACATAAGTATGAAAAAGTCCACTTCTTGATGAATAAAATAAAAACCCACAATCAAGATAATGCAATGAATAGAGTATTCACAAAGATTCAAGAGTTCCAAAGTTCGTGGAAATTATTAAACAAACACACATCAAGAAAGTGATTCATGGTAAAAGAAAAATACCCCTTAATGATAAAACAAGAAAAATCAAATCAATATGCATATAAAATCTCTTTCCAGTACAAACAAGAAAGGATAACAAAGGATCTAAACCAAGTATCAAATGACTAAAGAATATTGCAAAGAAGCAAAAATCTCGAAAGGACTAACCATATGTATTCAACAATGGTTTTCTCAGGAGTTTCAGAAAGGTCCAAGTTGATGAGATCGTTGAGCAGAGACATTTTCTTCTTCTTCACTTGTATACAAACCAGAAATATGAACCCTTTCTATTTTTGTTGATTTTTTTTCACGCAGTTGGAGACTTGGAGGAACTGATCTGCCAACTGTTATATTATGGAGAGACGTGAACGGACAAGGGTGAATCGGGTATTTTGTAGGTAAAAATGGAAAAGGAATAATATAATTAATTAAAATGATGGCGTTTGGAAATTTTCCATATAGACTTATGGTAATGGAAAATCTTATGCTTTAAAGATTATTATTATTATTTGGCGTTATGAATGGTAGGTGTTGACCTAAAAATATAATCAGACAGGGTATTATCGTTTTCATTCGTAAAAAAAAAAAAAAAAAAAAAAAAAAAAAAAAAAAAGTAAAAAAAAAAAAAAAAAAAAAAAAAAAAAAAAAAAAAAAAAAAAAAAAAAAAAAAAAAAAAAAAAAAAAATACAGAATAAGAGTCGATAAGAGTTACGAGATAGTACACTAAATAAATTATAATTTATTTTTCTTTTTGAATTATGTCTCAAAACTTATATTTTTTTTGTGAGATACTTTGTATTGATTTGCTTGATCATTTCCTTTTTATAAAATAGTAAAACAAGTTTCTTTATATATTAACAAATGACAACGACGCGTTTAATAGTTGTTCAATTGAACTTTTTTCTTTTTTTTTTCCTGTACGAATTGATTGATATTTGATACTCAGGAATCAGGAATAGATTCCAAGTTAGAGAACGTTGAATCTGGTGAGTGGAGACTGTGACCCTAGTGTCTGACTGGGAATTACAATAGAAGAATAGGTTACTTACACGGCAGATTCCTAAGAATCTTTGACATATATAATAATTAATCTATAATAAACCCTTGTTTGAGTCCTATTTTTTAGAAAAAATATATTTTTAAATAGTGTTTTGATATCATTTCAACTATATATTTTTCAATAAAATAATATTACACGAAAATCTAAAATTTTTCCTTATTTTTAACCACACATTTCACATCATGATACTATTCAAAAATACATTTTCTTGGCAAAAATAGGGCTCAAACAAGGGCTAAGATAGTTAAAGTTTTTATTTTTATTTATTTTTTATTAGCTCAATTGCCACTTATCAATTGAGCGGTTAACTTGAGGCGAAAGCTCCTAATTTTTAAAGTTTATATATTTGTATTTTTTTCTTATGAAAATTTCTTTTGGTAATTAAAAACAATAAAAAATTAATTAAGGATTACGGGCACTTTTTTAGTTAGTAATATTAGTAGCATAAATAGTTTAACAAGTTTAATTTACAAAAGAACATTTCGTCAATGAATAAACTAATAAAAATATATAAGGCGAGAATTTTTTTGGGGTAATATATACACATTTAATTAATCTTATTGTTTCACCCTTCATCACCTGTCACATCGTATGATGGATACATATAGCATTACTCTGACGAATAATGGTGTAGGGTCCCGATTGGCTTTCCTCCATTTTCAGCTTCAGTAATTCAATTTATCATTCTAGTCATTTGATATGTAGGGTTTAAATATGAGTTTGCAAAGTGAAGAATAATTTTGCTTTACTTGTTTAAATTGTATTGCATGGATGTATGTACTGTAATGAGTGATATATTGGCTATGCCTGCGAATCAGATGGTAAATTGATTGTTATCATTTGTAGTTAGGTCAGAATTTAACAGATAACACTCCTTCAGTTAGTTCCATATTTACTAGAAGATCTTCAATATATGTTTGACACATAATATTGAACATTTTTGCACTCTATAATAATCATACTCTGACGAGGAATGGTCTAGGGTCCCCATTTGGCCTTCCTCCATCGCCATTTCAGCTCTAGTAATTCAATTTATCATTCTGGTCATTTGATGTGTGGGGTTTAAATATGATTTTGCAAAGTGAAGAATAATGTAGCTTTACTTGTTTAAATTATGTTGCATGGATATATGTATTGTAATGAGTGGTATGTTGGCTATGCCTGCGAATCAAATGGTAAATTGAATGTTTTCGTCTATAGTTAGGTCAGAACTTAACAGATGATACACCTTCAATTAGTTTCACATTGACCAAAAGATCTTCAAAGTACGTTTGACACATAATATTGAATAGTCTTACACTCTACAACAATCAACCTAAAATACATACAGAATCATTCTGAAAACTCATTTTTTTTTCAAGCTCATATTCAACCACACATTCTATTAATAAAATAATTTGCACGTCCAAAACTTATCCCTACTTTTTAATCACATATTCTCCAAAAAATCACAAATATAAAATCCATTTTTTATGAAATATGGAGCTCAAACAAGGGCTATGTTTATGGATTGTCAGGATTGATAATTTATTATTTGATATTGAACTTGAAGTTGCTGCTTAACATACTTCACGAAGAGTACATAACAATTCTGGACAAGGCCAGTTATCTCTGTTGCTTCCTGCCCTGTAGCACAACCCAAAAAATAGAAAAATGAGGAGGGAAAAGAGAATTAAAATCTATAAAAAGCTTGTAACTCGTAAGAAGAAAATCTTGGAAAATGCTATTTGCTTATGGATTCTCCCATCCAGGCGGTAATAACTAGTGTTCTATGTAGTTGTGCATTGCTCGACTAGGTTTAGAAGTTTGTGTACGGGATAATGCTTTTTTTTGTCGGATTGAGTCCACGACTTCAGCTTTTTGAAATAATTTTCAGTCTCAGTTGAAAGAGGTTTAAAAGTGCTGAGCAAGCTGTGGGAAGCATCCTGGAAGGAGATTTGCCAGACTTCAATTGCTTAAGCCAAACAGAGTTCACATCTTAGAATGAAAAGTCGAGGAGCATCCAAGAATTAACAAAGATTCATCAAACCACAATAATAACAGTAAGTAAAGTGCAGAAAATTGTAAAATCTACACAATGATTTTTTGGCCGAAGCGAGACTACTTCTAACATCTAATTCCCTGTTGAGCATCCATTAAAATGGATAAAGCTCGGTTGCACTATAAAACTCCAAAAACAAGCAACAAGTATACAATAATGTTTCAGAAATATTACAAGAACCAAGTCACTAAGACTTATCTTAACAGAACCAACAAGGCAGACCACACTTCCAAGAAGGAATAAAAAAATGGATCACACAAATCTCACATTGCATATACTGCCTTCAATGAATCACACATCTTTAAGAGAAATCACAAAAACCGACTGCTATTCCACCAAGGAATCGAACGAGATCATTAAGATCTCATAAAACCTGAACTGCCTCAAAAAGAATCACTCAGATTCTTATAAACCCAACTCAGCAGTACACTACTATAAGGAACTATAGTATTTCAAGTAAACTATGAAGAAGTAAAGGTTCTTCACCGAGAGAGTGAGCCAGAGAGCCGACCCCAAAACCAAGAAAAATCTCTCAATAATTTGCCATCCAGAAGAAGAGTCACAAGACTTTATAGGTGGAAGGATCTAGAACTCAATCGGACGGCCTCCAAGTCACCACGTGTCAAGATCTTGTTGAAAGCTTCCACTAATTAATTTGTCGTTTGTAAAACATGTTTTTCTGTATTTTGGAAGCACACTTCTTCAAGTCACAAATCAGCTGTTCGATTCCCAACATGGAACATCTCTCAGAACAAGATTTTTAATTTATTCCTATATCTATCAATAAACCAAGAGGAGCAACAAAACATGATTCATGTTGTCACAAAGAGCATGTTTGGCTAAGCCAAGTAACAGTAAGTTACTTTTACTTTTTTGAGAAATGCCTTGGGAAAAAAAGTAAATGAATTTTAAGCTTAGATATGTTTGACTAAGCATAAAAGTTATTTTTTTTAAGTATTTCGTGTGTATTACATGATGATCGAAATATTATGCTTTTCAATTTCTTGTTTATTCCATTGAAATATGACAGAATATTTTTAGTCTGCAAGGAAATATTAGATATGCATCAATGGAGAGGACAAACATATAAGATTTTTGACTTCTTTGTCTTCGTAAATCATGTTAAGTCCCGTCTGATCCAACATAACAAACATACAATAACAAGATTAAATAACTTAGGCTGATGAATACACATGTAACTTCAAAATATCTGAAAACATACAACTCAGAAATAAAGTAATAAAACTTCTTTACTATAACCAACAATTCCTCTTATCATGATCTCTCTCCATATCTAACGTTCTAGTTTCAGTGACCGACCATAATGTGCATAAGAGGAATTAAAAGAGCCTGTCAGCTATGATGGACAACCAAAAAGATTATATGGTCCAACTTAAATGAAAATCAGAAGGACAAACGAAGAACCTAGAAATTTAAAATCATATGGCTCAATCTACGCGGCAATTGGCTCAGGAGATGGTTCAGGAGATGCACCACTGCTCCTGTTGAGAACAATCACATTAGCATCAGAATCAACATCAACAATCACAGAGTAGCCTTCATTAATCTCGGATGCAAGCATTTTCTCAACCATGCTGTCTTCTAAAAGTCTCATAATAGCTCGTCTGAGTGGTCTCACTCCGTAGCTTGGGATTTATCGTTCCTCGGCCTTCCTATCTCTAAACCTCTCTGTCACCTGAAGTTTTACATCCTTGGCTCCTTTAGCATAATGTCAGCTATCTTCATCACCTCCAGCTTGGTGAGTTACCGGAAGGCAATCATGTCGTCCAATCTATTCAAAAATTTCGGCCTGAAATACTGTTTCAGCTCCTCTGTAACCAAGCTTTTGATTCAGATACTACTATCCTGCTCCTCATAATCTAAATTAAAACCTATACGACAGCCTCCCTTCTCAATAACACTACTTTCAACATTTGATGTCATAATCAAAAGTGTGTTCTTGAAATCTACACTTCTACTTTTGCTGTCAGTTAACCTGTTAAAAGTTCTAGAATAATTTGTAATCTTCAAGACTTAAAAGAATTCAAATTCAAATTGAACACTCAACCTACAAAGGCTTCATTCATTGAATGGTCAAAGGATAAGATTCCTAATTCAAGTTGTATACTCAACACGCAAGCTGGAATCTAGAAATTAACATGGACAGCAATCTGATGTTCACAAAACAGCTGGAATTTTGAAATTAAAGCAGCAGCCAATTCACATTCAAGTGTTCAAACTATGCAAGCTGGAAAT